TTTTTTTAAAAGTAAAGAAAATACACCCCCCTTTTTTTTTTAAAAAAAAAAAAAAAAAAAAAAAAAAAAAAAATTGGACCCTTCTTTTCTCCTTTGTTTGAGCATAAAATTAAAGATTATATATATATATATATATTTTTTTAAAAAAATAATAATAAAGATGACTTTTGCCCATGAATTAAGGGTACGAAAGAGAATATGGGTCACCATGCTTACTGTTTACATGTGTCTGTATATATATATAGTATAAAGCTAGCTAAATTATAAGTAATAATTATTTTTTATTTTAATAATTATTATTATTAATCCAATAAATGTAAATTCTTAAATAATCATCTTCTTTCTTTTTTATGTACCTTTATTAAATAGTAAAAATAGATATTCAAAAAATATTCATAAATTAGCACAAACCTAATAAAAATTTAAATATAATATATGACACTGTTTAAGTTTAAAATTTGATTCTTTTGGCGAAATTTGTTAATTACGAACTTAATAAAAACAAAATTCAATTAAGGAAATTAAAAACTGTTATTAAATATATTTTAATAATAAAAAGAATAAAGTTAATTTGTGAAGGTTCACGCGTATGCATACATAATTTTCTTCTCATAAAGAAAATGTACATCAATATTGGTCAGAAAACATACAACAACATTTAATTTCCTACAGACGTCTGGATGTATCAGCGATGGTGACTGGTTATGGACGCCACCTCCTGGAAGAGACGAATTCTTTCGGGACCATCAAAACGACGAGTTTTATTTACAGTCAATGCAGGTTATGTCATTCTCATATATTGATTGAAAAGAATTGTAAAGAAGCCATGGAACATACGACCAAAAGACAATCAATATATCGTATATATATATATATATACGATATACACAGGGCATACGAGCAAAAGACAATCAATATATGTACAAGATATGTTTATATGTGTGTGTATATAAACAAAATTGTGAACATAACAAGTGGACCCAGAACATATAATACCAATATTCTACTACACCTGCGTATATAGTACTCCAGGCTATATATATGGAACTCAAGACAATATTATTATTATTATTATTATTTTCTTTTTTAAAGGATCCGAGATAATAAAAGTTAAAAAGTAGAAATTAATTTTAATATGCCGTGCACGTGATGCGTAGGAATGGCAGGGAGTAACAACGTGAATGTTCTTTATGAATGAATAGCATAATTGATTATTACTTTTTAACTGAAGGTGAAATTATTTGTATAAAATGACGTCGTATTGATTTGTTTTTATTAAATATATTTTATATTTAAGATTTTTTCATTGAAGGAATTAAGTTGAATTTGATTAAAATATTAATTTTATAAAATAAAAATAAAAATAACCTTAAAATTTTGACAAACCATTTGTTCAATTCATTACTTTTTAATATTTAATACTAAAATTTAACTACAAAATTAAAGTTTAAAAATTAAATTATTGTTATTTTGACTATCAATTATCATTATAGGCTACTAAATAAATCTTTTACTGAATGTACAGTACAGATATTCAATGATTTAATTAGAGTTACATATTCTAAAGTTATTAATAAAATATATGTATTTTATATTTAAAGAAATAGTAAGGTAACACTATTAAAAATCCATAATAATAAAATATAATATCTGTTAATTAAAATTGTAACAAAATATGCGTAAATCTAACAGTGTAAGGATTTATTATATAATTCATAATTTTAAAAATTTTAAAAAAATAAATAAATAAAATTGAAGAGTATTGTCTTACTTGCCTTTATCCCTCATAAAGCCTTAACTGCCCTAACCCTTGCTTTCTTTCATTCTATTTTCAGTCCAAACTGACAGATATGCTCTGTCTTCCACATTTATTGTACCACCCCCACACACTCATCACTTAAACCTCCTCCATTTCCATTCTTCTCCAGCCTCTTTTTCCTCCTACCATGAATCCTCCGCAACCTTCTCCCGTCAAACGACTCGGAGATCTCCTTCTCCAACAACAAGAACCCTTCGTACTGCAAGTTTACCTCTCAGAAAGACGATACACTGCTACTCCTGAAAACCACCATGGGAGTCGTTCAAGTTCCTTGCTTCTCGAGACTTCTTCAAGTAGTTTTTCAGTGAAAAAGAAGAGCAAAAATGGTGGTAGAAAACCTTATTTCAAGGTGCTTATTAGAGGTGTATACAGCAAGTTTATTGCCATTAAGGAGCTATTAAGAATCAGGAACTGTCATGATGATGACGATGATGTTGAGAATGGTGGTGATAGAGATGGAAAAGTAGAAAAAACCAGAAGCAGAAACCAAGAACAAGAAGACCCAGATAGATATTCATCTGCAAGTATCAGCACGGTGTATACTTCCTGCACTGAAAACGATGCAGAGGAACCGTCAACCTCCTTGCAGAAAGATTACACTCCCGAGTTTCTGAAGCTCGGCAATCCAAAAGGTGGTGAATTGATAGATTTCATATTTTACAATATGTACATATATGTATATGATTATATTTTTGAAAAACCCATTTGAAGAAAATTCCATTAATTGCCTACTCACGGAGCTAACAGGTTGCTTCAGGTAGAAAATTTCAGTGCAGATGCTCGGTAGAAGGCAACCCTGTTTCAGTCTTACAAGACATAATACTTCCTCAAAAAGGTTTTTCATTTCATACCCATTGATACATACATAGTATATACGCATTATATAATTAAAATAATCGTCTCTGTTTCTTTCTAAATCGTTAATTATGATATATCAAGAAGAGAACAATTCGTCAAGAACTCGGATGAGGAAGATAACAGAGGACTGCATATTGTCCGCTTCTCTCTGGAAACTAATTTTCAACTCCGGAAAGAAAAAGCCAATGAGTTGTGAGCTCGAAGAGCTCGTCCAGTCGATTCCATCTCCATTTTTGCAGTCAAAGAAGACGCTGCAACAGACAAAGCAGCTTCTGTTCGACTGCGTGAGGGAGGCTGTAGAGTTGCAGGGGAGAGAAAAGAGGAGACAGGAGAGGTCCGGTGAGTTTATGGGGCCGGAGGAGGTGGGGAAGATCATCTGCGACAAAATGAAGATGTGGGGAAAGAGAAGGGACGTGAGAAAATTGTTGGAGATGGAGTTTTTGGATGAGCAGTTTGAGTTTGATTCGCAGCGGAGGGAAATCGCGTGTCAGATTGGTGATGCTATATTGGAAGAAGAAATAGAAAATGTAATGGTAGTAGAACTGAGTCAACTCACCGCGAGTAGACAGGAAAAGTGAATATTCCCCTCGCTTGTTTAACGTTCTATTAAACTATAGATGGAAAGTACTTTGCACCCAGATTTCCTTTTCTTAAGTAGCTTTGGAATTTTAACCCAAATATGTTTTGAAACTCCAAGAGTCATATACGTAACTTTCTCAAAAACACAAACCAAGTCAGGTTTTTTAAATTGAACAAAGAACAGTTTCTTTCGTGAAAAAATTTATTATCTATTTTCTACCTGACAGAAAAATGTACTAACATATATAATCATTACATAACCAATAAAACAATAGTTATGAACTCAAACTTATAAAATAGTTAAAAATTTGCTGTCTTTTCAGATTGCAATTATAAATAGATAGTCAAAGAGCAAATTATATATTTGAGTTGAAATATTTAATCGTATCTTCTTCATATAAGAAATTATACTATTTTTATAAAAGTCCAAAAATTTGTTAAATTTCTTCCGGAAGCTAAACATTCCATTAGATATAAACTATAAGTACTATTGTCCTCCAATTTCATTTTCATTTTTAAGTTAAATCTTTCTGTTGACAAACAAAAACAATATAATTATTGATCAAATATATTATGATTTGCTTCTTCACAGTCACAATTGAACAAGCATAAATCCCACGCTTAAAACTCCCCACATCTCTTAAGCTTTAATTCTCGTACTAATTTTAGCACGCATCATTAAAACATAATTTACCACTAACCCCTAACTGGAAGTAATCCTTCCGATGGAAATTGAACATAACCATCAAAAAATTCAAAGCAAATAATGATACCATCAAGTAGTTCAAAACGAAAAATGATAATAGTTTAAAGAAGAAATTACCTTCTACTCATACATAATAATATTAAATGGGAAAGAAATCATATGCCAAATCCACACATCTGGTGGCAGTGGCAGGAGTGAAGCAGACCAGAATTGACAGTGGGGGTCCACATCAGGAGTAGACAGATATGATACCCAAATCTTTTTAATATATTAAAAGGTAGTTAAATGATCCATGGTCCATTCACAGGACAGATGTTGAAGTTTAAACCACCGCTAACATGAAATTACCCCCCCTAACATTTCATAAATCGAAGTTAAAATTTCACATAAAAGTTGCCATTACCTTGACATCCCAATTACAAATCATACACAATTCTAGGGTCGTCCTGAGGACATAATAACTATGTTCTGTCTGGACTTCCTAGATATTTGATTATCCTTTTTCAGGCTACCACTAATTCTGTCCTATCTTTTACCTAATCATATTGCCGATCACTACCCCAAAAAATCGAGGTAAAATATTTCCATCATATCAGCTCACACAAAATAACAATGGCTTTCACAATAAACCACGGCATCATTTATCAAAATAGGAAATGTGGGAGCAACCATCTCAAGAAGTTCAAACTGAAAGCATTTGGGGTTCAAGGTCCCCTACAGTATATATATCATGTACTTCTATAAGTTACGGACTAATATGGCCTACTGAATTTCCCCATCCTCACCGAGCTCCCCGTCCTCTAGCTCCTCATTTCGACGGGAACCATCGCGGTGATCCCGTTTGTGTCTTTTATGCCGGCTTTCACTATCCGATTCAGGTGAATACGCATGCTGCCATCAAACATAAGTATATCTTTAAAAGAAAATTAACTTGTCGCAAGATAGATATACTATCAGCCATCAAGAACTTATACATAAAAAATAGAGAATATGTACCTTCCTAGATTTTTTACGGTCACTGCCATGTCTACGAGATTTTTTAGACTCCTCCCTATCATCCTTGTCAGAACTCACATCATCAGCAGAACTGTGACGCCGTCTCCGGTGTTTTCTATCCTTCTTTTTCTTGTCCTCCTTGTAGCTGTCAGTCATATCTACATTCTCACTATCTGTTTCTTCCTTCCTACCACGTTCCTTCCCCTTTTCCTTCTCACGTTCTCTCTCTTTCTCCTTCCTTTCCTTCTCCTTCCGTTTTTCTTTTTCATCCCTCTCTTTTTCTCTCTCTCTCTCCTTCTTAACCTGCAAACCCCTCCCAGCCGCCAACCCCCAAACGAGGAAATCAAAGAAGCAGAAGAATTACAAATGGGAAGAAGGATTCAATAATCCTAATTCTTTTTTACAAGAATCTAAATAGAAAAAAGATTTTAGAACGTCAAGAACTCTAAGCAACTTAATAAAATTTTACTACTAATACAGCTCAAGTAAATAAGATATGATAAAGACTCGGCTAGAAAGCTAAATAGGCTTTATTGGTAGACTAGAGAACCAAACAAAGATTAAAAATTACACAAGCTATAGATCCAACTAGAAACCTAAATAGAATGAAATATTAGGTAAAGTTGTATCTTTTGAAAATGCACTCAGAAAATTTTAGAAAAATAGATTGAAAGATCATTATTTTCTTATTATTTTTAAAATAAAAAAATAGTAAAAGGTATTTATAACAACAGGAGGAGCAGCCAACACTACATCCTCTTATTCTGCTCCTACCAAAGCTAGATTAGCTCTTGAGAGGTCCAACAGACCACCACTTATTACAAACTTTGCGCTTCAACAAACTGTCAACTCATTATATATTTTT